CAGGAAGGGGCTGGTTTTTACCACTAAAAAAAGTTTAAATGGCAAACATCACTTATATCTGGATAACCCCTCATTCTCTGTTGCTCTGTTTCAGGAGACCTGGGAAATGCTCGTTTGGATGAATTGAGGAACCTGTGATTTCTCCACTCTCCCTTACCATCTGGTTTAAAGTTTTTTTTTGTTGTGAATTTGGTGTGTAGTGTTGGTGCAAGTTTTCCTCTAAGAAGCAAAAACAGTTGTAGTTTTTGCTGCCCCTTCACTTCCATTAGCAGCTGTTGTTCTGAGTCTCGACAGAAGGCATCAGAGGAATTTTAAATGGTCTGTTCTTTTGTTAAATCTCAGTTACCATGGACTTTTTGTTTGTTTGGCCCAAGATTATCATGAAGATTCATAATTTGGAGGAATTGCTGCCAACTTTTTCTTCGGGTTGTTTTTTAGTAGAGAGAGAGAGAGATCTAGGTATATTGCCTGGTCTTGCTTTTCCTCCACATAGTCAGATGTATTATGGTTTGTTGGGAGGGAAAGGCCTTTTCATTAAATCATTTTATAATGATTTCTTTTTGGGTTTTCATGGCTAGCAGAAAAAAAGGATAAAAAATTCCTAGCTTGATGACTGTAATTTTTTTATAAATGCCTGTGTCTATGTATGTTGGAAAAGGATTTGTCTCCATGCTTGATTCTTCTCTTTAAAGATTCAGATGAATCTTAAAAGTGTTTACTCAGATGTGATGAATTACAAGTGGATGAAATTACATTGTTGTCAGATTGACTCGTGGTCCTGCTTCCCTCCCCCAGTTGAGGACATTGACTTTCAGCTCTGAAAAGGTTGCTCACTCAAAGACCTGGGTTTTACACAGATGACATATCTGCCTTGTTAGAGATCTAGAGGGTTTTTATAGCTGGGGCTTGAGATGATAATCAAGGATAAGAGGAAAAAAAAGGCCAGGGGGTAGGATGGTTGAAGGGAAGGAAGAGCAGTACCTATCTCTCCGAATTGCTTATGTGAAGCTTCTTGCCAAAAAAGACATGCAAGGTCATTCAGCAAGATGAGGAGAGTGGGGAATGTTTTAGGACATATCAGCTGGCAAGCAGTTTGAAATGCTCTGATGCCACATAAAGCATCGGCCCAGCAGCTGGAGTGTGTGGCAGTGAGAGATTATCTTGGTGTGGGTGGATGTATCTCTTATGCAGTCGCTGCACTTCAGTCTCCAGGTCTTTGTGCCTTTTATAATCAATGGGGAGAGTGTTGCTTGGTGGGTTGAACGTGCTGCACCCTGATGCCTCACTTCACTCTGTATAAAAGGGGAAAAATAACAATTGCTTCTCTGTAAAGCTTTTTCTAGTTCTATGGTTGATAAATAATAAGACTATGATTATTAGAAGTAGGTTTTATTTTGTAGTCTTCTAAAACTTTATCTTAGGGAGATGAGGCTGTAGATATGAGGCAGTTTGGACTGAAGGATTCTAGAAGGACAGTATCTGTTTCTGAATATTTCTGCATAATTCTATGAGAGTTCCCACAGCAAGCTGAAGAGGAAAATTGTTCCTTGCTGTACTCACCATTTTGCTAAATACTATTCATTCCCAATAGCTAAAAAAGCCTGAATACTATGAGGGCTTCTTACTAACCTATAACTATGTTAATGCCTACCACAGGGGTAGTTTCTCTCAGCAAAAAGCCAAAAAAACGCGCACTGCAGAATGCACACCATGGACATTGCCAACAAACTGCTAATGTAACTTCCCTGTGAAAATGAAGCAGTATTTACAAGGCTGCCTTGCTTTGGGGAAAGCTTTCAGTGGAAATTAGTTCCTGAGAAAGGAAAATCTGGTCTGATGGAAGCGTTTAATTGGGTTTGGGTGCTTTGTTGTACTTTCAGGTGCACGGGATCTGCAAACTGCTTGTGCCAAAAGTCTGTCTGCCAGTAAATGCTCTGTTGCTTCAAGCTTTATGGAACTCTGAAAATAGTTTAAATAGGCTGTGGGCATGTGGGGCTGGGGCATGTGGTCCTTCTCACAGACTTTGGCATTTCCAGTTCTGATAACATGAGGGTCAGTTATGTTTGGATACTATTTGGTGGCTGGCCTTCCTTCAGAGTAAGTTTGCTGTGCCTGCCATTTAACAGTTACCGGTTTAGATATAATACAGGAGAGATTTGTATCTTTGAATCCTGAAGAAATGAAAAGAAGACTCTGAATCTGGTCCTAAAGCTGAAGATCTTGTCTTAAATTCTTGATGAGAACCTAAAGTAAGGGTGACTTGATAGTAACACAGGATTGCAGACTGGGGTTGGGGGAGGAAGGGGGAAGAGGAGTGTCTTATCTGCTCTTCACAGACCAGAGCTTGTTATTATCTGTCTGGGTGACTTTAACAGAGATTAAGGAAAACAACATGTATGTTTCTGTGAGCAGAAACAAGCACATTCCCTTGATAAGAAGTGTTCAGGAAATTTGTTCTGGGGCCCTGTGTAATGCCACAGTTCTGCTGCTGTTGAATCAGTCTTGTAAATCCATAGCCCAAGCTCAGGAGAGATCTTCCTGATTGTGGTGTTTTACCACTTGCATGGAACGGGCCAAAGAATTTCCTACACAAACTCTAACTACATGTATATTAAGGAGCAGAAGTTGTTCTCTCAATTTACATTTCTGAATTTAAGCTTTCCCCGTGCAACTTAATCTAATTCAAATTAAAACAAATGCAGCTTTATAAAATGATTTCATTACTGGGGAGAAGGACATTTGAATGAACTTATGGCATCTAGAATAGTGAGAGGAGGAGGCTTCTGGGCCAGCACAGTCATCTTAACCACTGCTTTCTAGCCCTATTAAATACCTACAACTGATCTAAAGTAACACTTATATCGCATATTATAGCTCTGAAAAATATATGCTGTTTTCCCTGTGTAAAAATTGTTAAGCTAGAAATTTTACTGCACTGCTGGGAGAAGTGAGTTATTGCTCCTTCAGCCCTTCATGCTGTCAGCTTTGGAATTTGTAGATGACATTGTCTACAAATTGTCTTGGCACAAGCACTTTTTTTGAAACAGAAACATCTGCTATGCTTAAGCTTTGCCTCCCGGACACCTTTTGATATGTTGTGAGAAAAGCCTGCCCTTGGCTCTCCAAGGTGCTGTAGCTTTTTTCCTCTGATGATTTCTGATGTGGTTACAATTGCCAGTAGAGAAACTGCTGGCAGATTGAAAATGGGTGGGCAATGTCAAATGAACTGTTATTTCTAAATGCACACAGAAGACCCTGATGATTTGGTTGTATTAGCTTACATTTATTCTTAATTTCTAAAAGTTATAACTTTATTTTTCTTTTAAGTTGGAACAGAGCAGCCACGGAATCAACAGATTGCTGCACTTTCAAAGCAACAACAGTCAGGGCTAAGCTCATGTCATGAAAGACTGTCTGGGCTTTGTCATCTCTAAAGACAGCCAGGAGTTGTCTAAAGTCAGAAAAAAGTTGCACTTGTAGCCATGTTCCAGTTCCACAAAGATCTGTGCAAATTGTATTTAGCTTGTGGGGGAATAACAACTGTATTAATTTCTTGAATAACACCAAGAATGATAGTAGTGCATGTTTCACTGCCTAAAAAATGAGGGGTTTTCTCTGTGTTTTCTCCTTTTAACTTCCTCAGCAGCAGGGCGCCTGGTGTATGTGGCACAGCAAGGGCTTGCAAGGGCTTCATGGTGGTTGATCAGAACCTGTCAAGGCCATGTGGAGGCGGGGTAGCAAAGTGAGCTCAGCATGAAATGAGGCTGACTGGGTGGGAAGAAAGCTGTTCTTTTACATGTAAAAGAGTTAATTATCGTTTGGGGAGTGGAGTTTCCTGAAGCTGAGCACTAGTCAAATTAAAAGCACTGTGCAGATATGCAACATTTCTTTGGCTGATCGTCTTTCTTCTCACCTCAAGCTGAAAATGTAGTGGAAAAGAGAAGATTTTGCTTGACATCTTCCATGTGCCGTTGTTACACAACTTTTTTGTTTGGTTGAGTTTTTTTCCTCCTCTCTCCGTTCTCCCACATCTCCGTTCTCCAAACTGCTAACTACATCTACTGCTTGTCTGAAGTGGGAAGATTTCAAAGTACAGAAGCTTTGCCAAAGTTTTTTTGTGGTTTTTATCCAAGCTAACTTACTCTATTTCTGTGGTTTACTTGGGGCTACATATTCATCTATATGGAGATGATGATCAGAGTGGAAAATACGGGCATTTTGTATTTCGCCTAGCAATTACTTCTCATTCTGTAGAAAACAAAACAAACATAAAAGTCCTGCTTACTCTTAAAATATCTGGTTGTCAGACCTCTTTTGCAGAAGCTCCCTATTCTATCCTTTTTGTAATGGACTGATAACGAGTGGGTTTATTCCCTTGCACAACACTTCTCAAAAAAAAAAAAACAAACCAACATTGTGTTTGTCTGTTCATCTTTTCTTCCACTGTTCATCTTTTGTTCCTTTCTGGTGAAATAGTTTTCTTTTCTCTTTCTCCAGTTTCTACTATTTTATACAGGCTGAATGGCTAACTGTATTTAAAGGTATTTGTAAAGTGCCTCTGGCAGAAGGGTTTAGGCACCTCTGTTCTTGCATCTCTGCTAATTGGAATGGAAAGAAAGACTGTGCTTGTATTTCTGGCTGTCTGTGTTGGGTCCTTATTTAAGGGGGAAGGTGGGAAAGGGGGCTGCTATTGAAGAACTCCAGAAGATTTGCCCAAATCTGCTGTTTATGGGATAGGATATTATCACCCCTCCCTTCTCCGTCTTGCGCTTTTCCTTTCTATTTGCTTTGCAGGACTGCTTCAATTCCTTCATCGTCTTGCAATGTGTGTCCATGTCACAACCTGGTGCTGTGGGGAACTACTAGTTCACGGCTGCTTCTTTGTTTTTGCTTCAGGCTGAGTCCTTGGGTTTAAAGACTTGTTGACATCACTGAGATTGACTCTCGGACCTTCAAGAGAAGAGACTTTCTGACAGCCCTGCTCTACTCCACCTGGCCCTATGACTGGAGGGTTCACTGTAGCTCCGTCCTTTGCTCTCCAGATCCACAAGATGGGTTCGTTCAGACGGCCCCGGCCTCGCTTCATGAGCTCCCCGGTCCTCAGTGACCTGCCACGGTTCCAGGCAGCCCGGCAGGCTCTGCAGCTTAGCTCCAACTCTGCCTGGAACAGGTGAGCAGGACCCGCCTGGGCTGAGCTCTTGCCCTGCAGCAGCTCCGCAATAAAGGCCGTGCGTGTCTGATCTTTGTTGGCTAAGCTTGTTTATGGCTGAGCTCATCCATTTATAACTTGAATGAACTTTTGGCATGCCCAAGTTTTGCTGTCATTGAAAGCCTCCATGGAGGTGAAAAAATTAGACCTAGTAGTGTTCAGCCTTGGTTTTGGCCAATGTTGTTCAGAGGTACTGTCTTGAAGTAAAACAGAATTGCTCTTTGTTAACAGTTGCATCTTTTCAGTACCAGTTAGGAAAACACATTCCTTGTACTGTAATAAAGGCCAGTTTCTTAATCCACAACAGACATTATTTGCATATTATGAAGCTTTTACCACAGTCAAGTTCCTCTGACAACTGCTAAGCTTGTGGCTTCTACCAGCATTTCCTATTGACAGTCAAATCCTGTCTGCAGTGAGTGTCATGCAACAATGGCAACTGGAAAAACAACGTGTAGGGTGAAGAGTGAGATTTCCTGATCTGAACTGATGGTCTGCTGCTACCAAAAGTGGGTGCTCCCATCTTCCCTTCTGCCACCTGGCACCATCTCTGTGCTCCGCAGACCCCTTTCTCTTGCTGACCTAGCTCAGTTTACTAATGTCACACAAAGATAGCCTAGCAAAAATGTGGCAGTTTTGTGCCAGGACAGTGAGCTGAGGTCTGTGAAGTGTGAAAATGCCATAACTGGCACACAGAAGGGAATGCCTGTTAAGTGAATGATACCTCCTCTTGTTAGCCATAGCAAGCCTTTAAACTTGCTAAAACATCTTGTGTGCTGTCACTTTATGATTTCCTCTGTGCTGGTGAGAGAAGTATGAGTTAGAAGATCCTCCAACTGCATCTTACAAGCAGTAACAGGGCTTAAAGTTGGGTCTGACTGAGATGATGCTGGCTGCATAATGTCTTCCATCACAGCCAGGGTTCTGCCAGACGCTGCAGGTTGGTGGTTCCTGCTAGATTAGCACTGGATAATGCAATGTGATGTGTTTGGCAGATATTGCCCAAAATCTATGTCTCCTCATAGCAACTAGCCTGCCAGCACACAGCAGAGATCCCCTAAACAATTGTGTTAAAGATATATCTGGTGTGAATGTGTTGTTTGTGAACAGTGTCCCTGTAATGATTTTCCCTTGCTTACTCTAGGCACAACTTGAGGCTGGTTCTGCTCTGTCTCCCATGAGAGATGTAGGTAAATAAGTGTGGTGATTTCCAGGGGAGAAGGAGTGGAAGCATTTAAGTGCAATTAACCTCTCTACCCCATTATAACCACTCAGCTTTTGGCAGCTAGCTCACATTGCGCTCTGTGTTAAATCATACTGGTGGCTGTTATTTATGGATGTTGTACTGTCTCATTTCTTTTTTGGCAGTGTTCAAACAGCAGTGATAAATGTGTTCAAAGGGGGAGGCTTGCAGAGCAACGAACTTTACACCCTCAATGAAAATATCAGGTAGGTTGCTGAAATGCATGAAAAGGGATTTTTGTTGCTGCTTGTTTGGTGTTTGCTTGGTTTTGTTCCCCTACAGAACCGCAGTTAGAGGATATTGGTGGGAGGAGCAAGGGTTGAAGCAAACTTAAGCATAACTTTGGGGTTTCAGGCTAACTTACTTCTTTTTTGCTACTGGGTGGAGTGAATGGCATGGACACTTGGATAATGTTTCTCTGACTTGTGTGGATGTGTAGCTTGGACAAGGACAGAAGGTGTCTTGACTTGGATTATAAGGATTTTGTCCCTTCCTAGGGAGTTTGCCTCTTCTGGCTGTTCTTTACACATTTTGATCAGGGCATTTGTAATGGTAGTAACATCTCTTTTCTAAACCCAAGCTTCTCAGAACCATGGAGTGTTTAAAATGAAAGCAAAACACAGCATTTCATTTGAAAGCTGAATGTTCACATGATAATTGCAGAGCAAGACATGAAAATACAAACCCTAATGATAAAAAACCTAAAAGCCTAACAAATGTTTTCTAACACTGATACTAGTGAGAATTAGAAGTACCATTTTTTTTTAAAGCAGGTTTCATGATTATCTGTGGTTTCATTTTGATTATTTGGAAAGTTTGGTTAGCAATAGATAGGACTGTAGAGCAGATAAAGAACAATGTGTTCTTGCTTTGGTTCCAAGTGCTGCTAAGAGGAGTGTTGTCAGAGCTCATCGATGTAGTTCCTCCTCCCTCCCTCTTTCCCACTACATCCATATTCATTCATCATGAATGCTGTCCTATAGGTCTCTGCTTCTCCTTTGATATGCTCCCCCCCTCATCCCTATTGCACTTTTCCTGAGCCCCAAGATTCAAATGGCAATTTGGGCTAAGCATGTACTAAGTAGCAGTCTAAACTACCCCTTTCCCTACTTTCAACATACATGCAGCTTGCAGGGCGCTAGACTCTGTGCTACTTGGTCTGGTCCCAAAGGTGAAAGTTTAATATAATTCTTTTTGGGAGCTGAGTGTCTCATGCTTTAATGGTATTTTAGTGTGCTCAGGTCAGAAGTGTTCAAGTTGGGTTTAAGTACTTGGAGCAGTCTTAATTCTCCATGGGATGAATATTTCTGTATATGAAAAGAAAAACAAATGTTGTAAGACTTTGGAAATACCCTAACCCACAGCCTGTTGGCAGACTCGGGGACTGGCTTTGGGTTTTGTGACTCATCTGCCAGGCTGTTGCCCACCGTGGTGGCTGCAGCCTGCTTCCCCCCCACAGTGCAAGCAGGTGCTCCTTCCCAGCCTTGTGGGGAGGAAGGACACCAGGCCGAGTAGCCGTTTTCAATGGACTTGGCCCCAATGGCTGGACCATGCTCTCTTCATATTCGTTAGTGAAGTGAATCTAGACTGCTGAGAGCCAGACGAAGAACAGGAAATTCTTTGTGAACTGTGTATGCTTTGTAAGCAGTGCTGAAGGTGGCAGGGGAAATGACCTCTTCCATGGACAGGCACTCCCAGGCAGCACTTGGAAGCACTCACCTTGAAATACATGATTAATGTTCCTGCCCTGAGCATTGGTTACATCTCCAAATGTCGTTCTCTAAATAGATCACTTTAATGTTCAAGTAGCTCCTTAATGTCCACCTAAGGAGCAAAGGACATGCATTTGCCTGTATGTTTTTATGCACACCTGAAGCCTCTCAACTGTGACTTTGGATGTAGCTCCAACACATTGTTGTGTGCGAGGCGAGTCTCTAGCTTGACACTAGGCAAAAAGCCAGACCTGTCAGATGGCCAACTCTTTTGTGCCATTAGGTCAAGCTGATGCATTTTCCTTGTTTGTAGTTCTCCCTTCTGCTCCTTGATGGAAGTCAGCAAATGTAGTGCTTTAAGAGACTCACAGATTATACACAGTGCGTAGTTATTTGACAGTGGGAAACGCATGAGAGTTTTGAAGTAGGACAGTAGTGACAGGACCAGGAGACAAGCAGGTGGCAACGTTTTGCTCTGGGTTGCTGCCACCAAGTTTTTATCTTGCTGTGATTTGATATCATCTCGCTGGATACTTTTTTTTTTGTTTTCTACTGCTCTGAAAGTCAGCTGTCACAGCAAGAGGAAATGTAAGAAATGCCATCGGAGACAGGATTTCAGGAAGCAGGAGGTGACCTGGCTGTGATTAGGAGGATACCCACCTCTCCCTTGGGTTCTCTCTAAGGTGCAAGCCTCTGGTTGCTCGTCTGCCTGCGTGAGGCGAAGTCCTGCCTTGGGCTTCTCAATCAGGTGGTGGAGAGCCGCCTGGATTCTGCTGAAGCCAGTGGAAGAGCTTCTGGCAAACGGGTCCCCAAAGACTTATCTGGTTTACCCATCTCATAGAAATAAACTGTGCTTTGAGATGGGTGGGGCGAATATAACTGCTCTGAGAGAGCGAGAGTAAAAACACATTGGCATGTGAATAAATGTAGAAGTATTACAAAACGGTTAGGGAGGAAGGTTGCTGTCAAAATCAACTTTCAGCAAAGATTAGGAAAAAGTGGTGTGGTTTGTTAGTAAGATCCCAACCTGAGAACTGGACGGACCCTGATTCAAATGCCATTTTTGAGCACTCTTGGTTATATGTAATGTTGGTGAAAAGCAAAACTCTTAGAACAGAAAAAAATTGCAATGTTTTGCAGTGGAAAGTGTTGGTTTCCTTTTAAATTTTAGGCAGAATTTGCTGCTACAGAATTTATGCTTGCAGTCACTGAAAGCTGAAAGTGCAAATGCTCTGAACTTTGAGAGCTGGGTTCTTTTAACGCTTCTTCTGATGTAAAACAATCCTGATTTTTATATTAGAGTTTTGAAGTATAAATATGTATTGGAATTTAAAACTTTTACCACAGCCTGGTTTAAAATCCAACAGTTTTTACCAGAAATACTTGTTTAGAGTGGCTTCTGCCTGCATGTATTTAAAACACCTCTTGTTAAATTTCTAGAATTTCTTTCTTGAAAAATATGCCTTTTTTTTTTTTCTTTCAAATGCAGTAGTCATGGGGAAGCCGCAGCTTCTGCTTGTGTGTTTACTTCATTGCTTCTCTCCTTATCCTCCCACCTTCTACTTCCAAGAGAAAAGGAAGTACAGTGTTAGAGAGATGTGCTATTTTCAGTGACGTGAAAGGCATCTTTTTTAAAACAAAAAGCAGAAAAAATGATGGATTTCAAGCTAAATAACTTCAAATTGTCTCCCCAACTTTCTGTTCATTCAGGGGGGTAAACACTTTTTTGTTTGTTCTCTGTGTGTGGCTTATAGAGGACTTCAGGGAAAGCATTTCATTCCTTCATAATTTGAGAACAATCTTTGTGGGCATTTATAGAATATATACCTAAGTGAAAAAGAAATCTAACTGTGGCCAAATGACGCATTTGCATATACTCATGTTTCTTTGGTATGACTGGTAGTAAAGTGCAGATATACCTGTAAGAAATGATCAGCAATGGCTGTTACTTCATGGCTGCATTCCTTCTGTCTACAGACGGCTGCTGAAGAGTGAACTTGGATCCTTCATCACAGACTACTTTCAGGTATTACATTATTTGCTTGTTTTGTTTTGAGGTTTGCCCTCTTAAGCTTTTTAGCCTATGAAAAAATTAGGACCCCTTTTTACATGCACGTAGGCTACAATTTTCATTTTTTGTTTTGCTACAAAAGGTGATGGAGGTACTGGACTTTTTTAATGTGGGCCATATAGCCTTGGGAGTAATCATGGGTGTATAAGCTAAAATAAAGATAATCTTCCTTTGCGCTTAAGAAATTATGCTTGTAGCCCCTCAAAGGCCAAGAAGGAATTCACCTGAACTTTTTAAATAAGATGGGATACTTTTTCCCAGTTTTTTTCACCCTGTTTCTCTAGTATAGAGAATTCAGGAGTAGGTTTTCTATACAGGAGCCAGCAAAGAGGAAGAGAAAAGATAACGGCTGTCTGTTTTAGTGGGGGCAGAGAAGGAAGTCTGTATCAGCAGGAAATCAACCTGGGTACTGTTTGCCTTTTAGTCCCACAAATATAAATGCAACCTGCGAAAAAGCAAAAGACAAAGGATGAGGGAAGGCCTAATCAATTACGAATATGAATAAGTAATATTGCCTTTTACTGATACTGTCCAGATAGAGGTTCAAATGTAACCACATGAAAGTGTGTTGGATGATTTTGAGAGAGCACTGATGGCTTTCAGTGATGTAAGTTGTTCAGTGTAGTGTTGATTAAAGAAAAGGAGGCAGCTGCCAAAACCAAGAGGGTTTTCTTGCCTTAGAGAGAAAGAGAGAGGAAATTTCAGTACTTTCTGAAGTCGCTGCTGCTGCTGCATACTGTGCTAGCAGCTTGGAAAGGGAAAAAAAAAAAGATTAGTGTTGTTTCTTATCAGTATTAGATTACATGACTTAAAAAAAAATCCCCCATGCTGTACTATCAACTGAGAAGCAAACTCCTGCCCCAGGGGTAGTTATGTTTCACTTCTTTAGATGCTATTTGCACAAGTGATTTACTGGAAAGAGGTGGCTGCTGGGACATTTCCTAGACTGTGAGAAGGGTGGTGGCAGCCCGATGGAAAGGCTGCGAGCCCATAGCACAAAGTGCCTTGCTTAAGTGGAAATCTGCTACTGCTCCTGCTAATTTAAAAACAGGCAAACAGTTTGCAACTAAATATATGTGACAAATTGAAATTTGAAAGATCTTGATCAGGTACCCAGGTACTACAGTGTTAGGCACGGTGTGCAAGGCTGGAATAAGCAGAAAATGTCCAGGGGCAACTTCATGTACCCGTAAGCCTGAACGGAGCATGGAGCTGAGCTCGGTCCTGAGGGATGTGAGATGCTGATGTATGACTGTTACCTGGTTTTGAAAACTCAGAGTGTACTGAAAGAGGCCTGGGTGGGTTCCAGCACTAAGACACAGCTGCATCTTGTCGCTGCGCAAGAAGAGCTGACGACTGCTGGGGACCAGATGGCTCCCAGTGCTGGGGTTTGGATGTGTTCTCTTCCTCCAGGCTGTAAACCTGAAGCCTGTCACAGTCACACCAGGGCTACTGGTATTAGCTGAGACTCCTTAGATGTCTTAGCAGTAGAGCTGATGACTGAAGAGTGCTTAGACTACAGCCTGCTCACTGCTGGAGGTTGGATATCTGTGTTGCATCCCTCTTAGCAAGTCGAGAGCATCTGATCTTGTTCTGGGAGAAGGATGTGATCACCAGCACTGTTTCTGCAAAAGCAGGAGCAAAAACTGTGCTCTTTCACCCTAATGACAGGGCGGTACTACTTCAGCCACAGGCCACAATCGCAATGTAGGTACTCAGCACTGCACTACAGCCGAGAGTGGTGGCCTTTGCCTCGGAGAGAGTGCAGTGCAAGGGCTTGGGTGCGCTCACCTCTGAGTTTGTTTTTCTGTCAGTCTGTCTGTTCACACTTGTGCAAATACCTCAGCATATACGTACCAGTTCACCTGCAGCTGCTGTTCTCCCACTGAAGCCACTGGGACTCAAATTTAATTTCTGGGATTTTTTTGCTCAATGTTAAAAGAATAACTTGGCATCCATCAGACTTAGCCTGAAGTAAAACTCTTGGTGCTGGCAAGCCATAAGACAAACTGTGAGATAAAGGCTATTGTAGGAAATGAGCTTTTTTCCCCACTGTAAGCTAAGATGCAGACTTATTTCTGATTCTAGACTGACAGCACATGGCAGTGATAAAAGTTACTACTCCCTCCTGAATGTCTTTACTCAAAAATCCTCCGGCTGTAGAGTGGGGAAGGACCACTCATGTGCCAAAGAAGGGCTGACAACATTAATCCATTTGTCCGTCGTTCAGTTTCACTGCTGATGCCAGCTGATTTATGGCAATACTGCTCCCACCAAAATGAGCAGAGTTAAATCAGGCTGTTGGTTTGGCTGAAAAATAACTTCGAAAGAAAAAAAAATTGTGGAAAAATAAAAAATAAAGTTTTCAACTACTTCCTTTGACTTGTTGTTCTCATCACCTCTGATGTGGGGGAGGTGATGGGGACAGGTCACCAGGATGGGGAGTGGAGTGGAAGTGCATGTTTTGTCAGCGACTTTCTCCTACATCTGTTAAAGCCCACTGAAAAGCTATCCTGAGAACTGAGTTTACTGTTCTCTTAGCTTGAAACGGACCCTGAAAGATCTGCTCTCATGTGTAACCAAGCAGTTTTAAATATTGTACCAGCAACTAACTGCATCATGTAATATATAGATGTGATAAATTCACTTAAATGTTTTCTATTTCTTATGCCACAGCACTTAGTAGCCACAGCTACTAAGATAATTCTTAAATTAAATTTTCCATTGTTTTAAGAGTTCTGGCTCTTACATTACATGTATTTCATACGCACATGTTTTCTAAGCAATGAATATTTAAAACTAAAACGGAGCAGAGCTTTTATAGTGAGACAAATCTACCTTTGTGATCAATTTGGCTTGATTACTCACAAGTCTTTTTCATCAGCACTCATGCAAATTACCAGTTTTTAGCTCCTGAAGTTGCTAAAGGAATGTTTAGGAAACGGTTGGGGTTTGGGCAGTCTTTCTCTGCTACCAAATCATCATCATACCAGAGTTACTGAGTCTGGTTTGTATTTGAAAAAGAAATGTAATTCCTGTAAGGGTTTCGGTGGGAATTCAGATGTTTCATTCTAAAGGAGATTTGTGTTTATAAATTTGCTGCTCTAGCAACCCTATTATATATACAAGCAATCTTCTTGGATTGGAGTCTGAGTGTAAATGCCAGATAGTTGGGACTTAAAATATTTGCTGCAGATCTGCCTTAAAGCAATGCTTCCTGCTCCAGGTTTTCTAGTAATGGCTTTTTGGCTTTGCCCATGAACTGATCTGATAGTTTCCTGCTGCTGAAAAGGTGCACTTCGTGCCCTCTGCTTGGTAACCCATCAGGGCTCCATCTGTTCTCACTGCTGGGTTAGTTCTCTGGTGGTCAGCTGAACCACAACAGGGAGGAATCCTATGACACCAGAAGGTAAGAGGCTGGGATTTGGAGGAACAGGGTGTATTGGTGATTGGGACTTCTCTCAGGGAGCTGTAAGATTTTTCAGATAAGCTCCCTTCATTTTCATGCTGTCTGAAGAGTTGTGGAGAAAATTTTTGAAATATAAAATTTGTGGGTGTTGATAAATTGATGCATTATCTTCCTGATTCTGCAAACAGCCTGAAACAAAACCTTTGGAAAGGATGAGCTGTTTCTTTTCACTCTTTGGGGGCTTGTTAATCTTGAAACTCACAGGGGAAAATGGAAATGCTAGATATTTCACAGCTAACCACTTTAGCAGAACTGCCAGGTCTATGCATATTAACTCCAAACTGTCTCCTCCCAAGGCGGAGACACCCCATCCCTTCCCAGGCACTGTAACTTCTCCCAGCACCCACAAGCTGCAAATGCAGAAAGTCAGATGCCCAGACTTGATGCCTCTCCAGCCTGATGTCCGCTGCCTGCACTGGCAGAGCTGGTAGGTGAGGGATGGCGAGTGGACTGTGTTTCCTCATTTAATCCAATGAGAGCATTGATGTCTTAAAACCAGAAGTGAAGCTGTTACACAATTTCCAGCCTGCTGCAGTGGAGAGCCATGGGAGGCAACAAGTCCTGACTCAGAATTAGGCCCAGCTTTCTGCGTGCATGCAAAACCATAGAAACCGCAACATGAGAGCACCAATGTTGCTGGGGAGTCAAGCAAAGTCAAAATAGCAAAACGATAATGGAGAGCTGCGAAAGTAAGCAGCAGCAGTGATGAGGCAAGCCTGGATCCAAGCCAAAATTGATTTTGTCCCCTCCCTTTAAGGCAGTCAGGAGTGGGACTGGTGAACCTTCCTGCGGTCAGAGTCCCCCTCGCTATAAGTTAGCCAGCTGTGCAATGCAGCTGCAGTGGTAGGGGCAACATAAACTCCTCGCTCTACTGTGGCACCATAAAGCTTTTGCTTAAGTCCCCTGCTGCATGCCTTTCTGGGGCTCCAGCCTATCCAGCATCTCTCAGCCTTTGAAAGGCTGCTTTGTTAAGCCACACTAATAGCAGAAAATGTCTTCTGTCCCTCTCTCCTGCTTAATCAAAGAAAAAAACCTGGTGCGTGTGACATTTCTTTCCTTGGCACCAGGTTTCTACTTCTACCTGCTTCGTAGCAAGGGAAGGAAATTGTTGTGTAGGTTCTTGGAGTGATGGTTATTGCTGGATAAAGGCAGCGCTAGCTCTTCTCTGGCCAGGTGCTCTCTCATGCCTGCTGCCAGGGACTGCAGCAACTCGGCCACCACACAAGGGGAGAGAATTCACACTTGTGTGATTTGCAGAGCTCAGCTGTATGTCTGCAATAGTCTTTTGGGTCAAGCTGGTCTTTATTATTGTATTTCTCTCCTCGCTGGCTGGGAACCCCTGTTGATGCAGGTCAGCTAATTATTTCTGCTTCATCTGGCACTTTCTAGTGCTGAGTTTTCATGGAGTAGCTCCAGAGACTCCATAGCAACTGCCCAGCTTCGTTATCACAGATGGGGTCACCCGGCAGCTCAGCCCCGTTACTGC